CCAGTTCGCGTAAGCCACCGCGTAAGGTCGCTATGCCATCGTGGGTCAGACCTGTTAATTTTTCGTCGCTCATGTATGTTTGTCCCATTCAGCTCTCCAGTAGTACGCAAGTTGTACGGGCCCTCGTATCTAACGGCTCCGGCAGACAAACACACAGTGGCGCTCACACGCCTTCTGATGATGATCGAATTGGGGGGGGGATGCGGTCGGGACTTCTGGTTATCGTGTCGCTCCGCCGGTTCTGGCCCACCATGCGTCGGCGCGACGCGCTGTCCACGTCCCAGTGACCAGGCCTCAACGTCCCGAGCTTTGCCCCGCCTCCCGCCCCGCGGAGCAGAGCGACACGCTATCCTTAGGTTCGTGAATTGACTACAGGCGGTCCAGCGGAAATCCTGCCCGAATCTTCAAAACACCTTCGGCCGGAAACTCAAACTCCAAAAAAATGTTAAAGATTCTTGAATCGGAAACTCAAAATCCAAGACAACCTGAGAGAATATCAAACACAAAACCTGGGGAAAACACACACAGAAGAAACTACAGGAAATCTTGAAGCCGAAACCTGGGAAAGACTCAAACCTTAAAAAACTTAGAAAAACTTGAAGCGGAAACCTGGAAACAACTCAAACCCGGAAGGTTTTTTTGTTGAGATTTTTAAAACAGTTTTTGCCAGAGTGTTTCCATAGTTTTCCCAGAGTTTTTGTTTGTTTTGTTTTTTTGTTAGAGTTTTCAGTCGTTTAGATTTTTTCCAGAGTTGTTCCATAGTTTTTTTAGAGTTTTCAGTCGTTTAGAGTTTTTCCAGAGTTATTTCCAGAGTTTTTCCAGAGTTTTTCCCGAGTTTTTTTAATCGTTTTTTTCCAGAGTTGTTTCCACAGTTTTCCAGAGTTTTTTCCCAGGTTTCGGCTTAGATATTTTCTGGAGTTTTTGTTTGGTTTGAGTTTTTCCCAGGTTTGAGCTTCAGGTTTTTCCTATGTTTTTGTGGATTTGAGTTTTTCGCAGGTTCGGTGTTTGAGTTTTTTTCAGGATGTCGACCTCCCCAGGTTTTGGTTTCAAGATTTCCTGTTTTTTTTTTTTTTTTTTTTTTTTTTTTTTTTTTTTTTTTTTTTTTTTTTTTCTGGTTTGGGTTTTTTGGCCCGAAGTTGTCGTGGACCGCCTGTAGTCGCAATTGGCGAACCTAACCGCTATCCTTAAGTCGGGCGTGTCCCTCTACAGGAGGAGTATTCAAAAAGAGTACAAACATAGCCTGGGGGCGATTTGTTCAAGCATTTTTTGTTTTGAACCATTTTTGATTTTCTCCGGGGTATTTTTAGTTTTCGTCCAAAATCGCCCTGTAGGGGGACACACCCGACTTAACGCTATCCGCTAGCAGGGCATAGCGTGTCGCTGGGGCCGCCGCCGCCGCCACATGCGAAGCAGCAGTTCCTGACCGCATGCCCGGGGCTCGCGCCGATCTGCTGGCGATGCATAGTGGGGGCGCGCATCAGGAAACCGTATGCTTCTCGTCAGGGCATTCCGGGTTTCTTCGCTCCTCGCGCTGCGCGGTGACTTCCCGCAGCCGTTGAAGGAGCTGCTGCGTTCAGGGTGCTCCAGGCTTCCCCTCAGGTGCACCTCGCGCACGGGTCCTCAGGGTTGGGTTTCTTGCGAGGGTTCCTTGCGGCCGCGCCCGCACTGTATCGCCGATTCTGGGTCGATGCTTCCTCCCCTGAGCGGGCCCCTCCAGCTGGCACGGGGGCCAATCGGATCGGACGCCTTCGGACGCCTTCGGATGTTCTCGGGTGTCTTCGAGCGTATTCGGTTCTCGCTGGTCTTCGGACGTCTTCGGAGGTTCGCGGCGGTTTGTCAGCCTCGGCAGGCTTTTCGGCAGTTGCGCCTCGCCGAGAGCGGTTCGGGAGTGTCGGGATCGTCCCGAACGCGGGCGGGGGGGGGGGTACGAACGACATGTGCTACGTGCAGCTGCTTTCGGCCCCGCCGCTGGGCGCTTTCCTTGCTATACGTCGGCGCCTCCAGCGTTTAGAAGAACCTGGGGGCTTCCAAGAAGGCTTCTTGGATGGGCAGCGAGGGCTGAACGTCCAGACCCTTACAGGGTGCAGCTGGTGGAAGTCTGCCCCAGGGCATACATACGGTTCGGTCTTGAGTACGTCGACCTCTCCGCCAGTGCTTCGATAGCGTGCTTCCTGACGGAGTGCTTTGGTGGTTGCGGAACGTAACGTTGGGAGGAGGGGGGAACATGGAGGTCCCTGGGACCTTGGGCCTCTTGGGGGCCTCTTGGGCCGTTTTGAGCCGTCGGTATGCTTAGGCGAAGCACATTCTAAAACCCTTCAAACATTTAAGGACAATCAATGATTTTGCCCTCTTCGGGCCCTCCTGGAGGACCTCTTGGACGCCTCTTGGGCCGTCTTGGAGGCGTCTTGGAAGCTTCTTGGGCGAACTTGGGGTTATCTTGGACTCTCTGAGGCCGTCTTGGAGGCCGCCTTCGGCGGACTTGGAGGCCATCTGGGACCATCTTGGAGGCCATCTTGGGCCAACATGGCCATCTTGGAGGCCATCTTGAGCCGTCTTGGAGGAACATTTGGGAGTTGGGCGATGGCTTGGGCGTCTTATGGGTCTTCGGGGGGGGCCCTGGCGGGACGGGCCGACGCGCCAGGGGGAGTTCTTTTGAAAAAAGAGCCAATACCAAAACCGACATGATCCAGCACGCCAGGCACCCCTGCGATGAATCGACAGGGGGCGGCGGATCGAAGACGCCTACGGCGAATCACCGCCGCCCCCTGCCTTTTTGGAGACGCCGATGTGGCCGAAAGTTGGATTAGAGCTTGGCCAAGCTATCGGACCATGAGTTCCCCGAGTCGGTTTGGAAAGCTTTCGGGGAACACATGGGAGAGAATGATTATGAACAGGAAGAGGAAGAGGAAGAAATAGAGTAGGAGGATGAGGGTTGTTAGGAGTCTCTTGGGGCACCCTTGGGGTCTGTTGGGGGCTTCTTGGGGGCCTCTTCGAGGCCTCTTGGAGGCATCTTGGGGGCCTCCTTGGGCCTCTTGGGGGCCTTTGGGGGCTTCCTGGGGGTCTCTTTGGCCGTCTTAGGGCGTTCCTGGTCCGTCTGACGCCGTCTGGAGCCGTCTTGGGGGCCTCTCTGGGCCGTCTTGGGGCCCTCTTGGGGCGCTTCAGGGCCGTCTTGGAGGCCATGTTGGGCGTCTTGGAGGCCTCTTGGGCCGTCTTGGGGCGCTCTTGGGGCCGTCTTGGGGGGCCCTTGGGCCGTCATAGGGCCTTCTTGGAGGCCTCTTGGGCGATCTTGGGGGCCTCTTGGGCCGTCGGAAGGCCGAAAAGAAGAAAACGCAACAAACCTTGAAAAACCTAAGGAAAACCAATGATTTTGGCCTCTTCGGGCTCTCCTGGAGAACGTCTTGGAGGCCTCTTGGGCCATCTTGGAGGCATCTTGGGGCCATCTTGGCCGTCTTGGAGGGCATCTTGGGCCGTCTTGGAGGCATCTTGGAGCCATCTTACCCGTCTTGGAGGCCATCTTGGCCGTCTTGGAGGCATCTTGGAGGCCATCTTGGGCCATCTTGGCCGTCTTGGAGGCCATCTTGGGCCAAGTTGGGGCAACAAAGGCATTGACAGATGGATTTTCGGAAACTTACGGGTGGCCGGCGGGACGGGCCGAAGCCCACTGGGGAGTTCTTTTAGAAAAAGAACCAACACCAAAACCTGAAACGTCCAGCACGCCGTGCACCCCTGTGGCAAGACCACAGGGGGCGGCGGATATAGTGGCCTTCGGCCCATTCCGCCACCGTGACTGGTTGTAGATTGCTGTTTTTAATACATGCTCCGCGTGCGGATCGTGTATTAGAAATGCAATGCTTTAGTATTAAAAACAACGATGAGTTCATGCATACATTTGCTCATACATTAATTATGTATTAACAATCCCATATTAAAGCAACATCCGATGTATTAAACACTGCCCTGTAGATTAGATGTCTCTTGGATGTTCGTCTGTATACCGTGCGAGGCCTCGGGGCCTCTTGGAGTCAGTCCTGAGGCCTCCTGGGGGCCGTTCGGGGGCGTCTCTCTCTGGGCCTCCTGGGGGCCTCGTGGGGTTCTATGGGGGCCTCTTGGGCTCTCTTTTGGGCCTCTTGGGGCCTCCTGGTGGCCCCTTGGGGGCGGAAGGCTCACACTGTCGGTCAGTGTTCCCCCTCTTGAGCTCCTCTTGGGGCCGTCTTGGGGCTCTCTTGGGTTGGGCGCCTCTTGGGCCGTTTTGGGGCACTCTTGGACCGTCTTGGGGCCCTCTTACCAATTGGGCCGTCTTGGGGCAGTCCTGTGGGCCTTTGGGGCAATCTTGGAGCGTCGGACGCCCGAAAACGCGAGAACGCGGAAAACATCGAAACACATAAGGACCACCAATGATGTTGCCTCTTTGGGCCCTCTTGGGGGTTCTCTCGGAGCGATCTTGAGGCTTCTTTCGGACCTCTTGGGGTGACTCGGGGCCGTCTTGGGCGTCTTGGAGCGCTCTTGGGCTGTCTTGGAGGCCTCTTGGACCCTCTCGAGCGCTTTCTGGGGCCCTCTTGGCCCGTCTTGGGGCCCTCTGGCTTCTGGAAAAGTCACGCGGGGCAACCCGGGAACGCGCGGCAACGACAAGGAAACTTAGGATTGTTGGGCCCCAGCCTATATATTACTACAATCCCAGGGTCCAGAGGACAACACAGAGAGTACACATGAGGACCTTGAGAAAACTCCACATAGCGTCTCGCGGCACGGTGGCGGATACACGCATACATGCATACATACATACAATCATGCATACATACATACACACATACATTAATCTATACACACGCATACATACACACATACATGCGTACATACATACACACATACACACATACACACATACATGCATACACATATATGTATATATATACATACGTACATACATAAACACATACATACATACATGCATGCATACATCCATACACACATACACATATCCACACAACCATGCATACACACATACACACCCATACACATACACACACACATACACATACACATACACATACACATACACATACACATATACATACACATACACATACACATACACATACACATACACATACACATACACCTACACATACATACATACATACATACATACATACATACATACACATATACGTACACACATACATACATACACACATACATACATACACACACATACATACACACACATACATACATACATACATACATACAACCATTCACACATACATGCATACATACATACAACCATTCACACATACATGCATCCAGACATACCGACATATAGGCAGGCAGACATACATCCATGCATACAGACATACACATATACATACATCCGTGCGCACATACATACCTACACCTGCATACAGGCATAAATGCACACATGCATACTTACATGCATACATACATGCATACACTCCTACAGACATACATCCACACCTACTTGCGTACATACGTACATACGCACAAACATACATACATACATACATCATATTTATACATACACACATGCATACACATACATACATGCATACACACCTACATACAACCATACCTGTTTACACACTTACATACACACCTACATGCACACAACCATACACACATACATCCAGGACCCTATTCGAAATGTATGGCTATATCTATGCGCATATATACCGTGTATATATACACATACACATCTATACATCTGTACATCTTCCAACACCTGCGAAGCGCCGCGCTCGGGGGCGTTCTTGCGCGCCCCCGTGCCCGGAGGGCGTGGATGTGGATGGAGACTGGAGGGCGTGTCCGCGGGGGGGGGGGCGGCGGGCGGGCCCGATGAACCAGGTCAAGACTTCGTCGCTTGCGCAGGTCCGGGGGTGGTGTGCAGCACTGGTGCGCACGGGCACACGTGGGGCTGCCCTAGACCTCTAGATTTGGTCCTCGGGCGGCACCTCCCTCCCTCCCCCCCCCACTCTGGATACCCTGGCCTATCGCCGAACACGGTCGCCGCTCGTGGCCGTTCGGCGGCGCCGCGGTCGCCGCCCGTGGGGTCGTTCGCCGCGCGCGGCCGTCCGGTGGCGCCGCGGGCAGGCCACCTGAAGCTCGCGGACTTCGGCCTCGCCAAGCGCCTCCCCGGCGACGCGGCGTCGCGCTCCTCCGTGGCGCGGCCAGAGGGCTACGGGCAGGCCCGCGGCCGTGGCCGCCGCTCGCGTCGTCGTCGTCGTCGTCGTCGTCGTCGTCGTCGTCGTCGTCGTCCTCGTTGTCGTCGTCGTCGTCGTCGTCGTCGTCGTCGTCGTCGTCGTCCTCGTCGTCGTCGTCGTCGTCGTCGTCGCCGTCGTCGTCGTCGTCGCTGGCGCCGGCGCCGTTGCCGACTCCGTCCGTCGTCTGTCCGTGCCGGCCCCTCGCGTTGCGACGAAAGTCACGGCGGGCAGTTTTTGGGTAGTTTGCGGCCCGTGGGGGCCCTTACCGAGCCCTGGGACAGTCAAGAAAACAACTCAGGATGAATTATGCTAACGGAGTTCCCCACATAAAGAGATTAACGGTTTCGTGGGACCCATTTTCTTGATGCCCTCCTCGCTTTGGCGGGGCCCCGCTTGGGAGGGGCACGAAACCATGTAAATAGTATGGTTTGCGGATACCCTCCTCGCTCAGGCGGGGCCTCCCTGGAGGGGTGGGAGGGGCACGAAACCATGTAAATAGTATGGTTTTCCGATACCCTCCTCGCTCAGGCGGGGCCTCCCTGCAGGGGTGGGAGGGGCACGAAACCATGTAAATAGTATGGTATTCCGATACCCTCCTCGCTCAGGCGGGGCCTCCCTGGAGGGGTGGGAGGGGCACGAAACCATGTAAATAGTATGGTTTTCCGATACCCTCCTCGCTCAGGCGGGGCCTCCCTGGAGGGGTGGGAGGGGCACGAAACCATGTAAATAGTATGGTTTGCGGATACCCTCCTCGCTCAGGCGGGGCCTCCCTGGAGGGGTGGGAGGGGCACGAAACCATGTAAATAGTATGGTTTCGGATACCCTCCTCGCTCAGGCGGGGCCTCCCTGGAGGGGTGGGAGGGGCACGAAACCATGTAAATAGTATGGTTTTCGGATACCCTCCTCGCTCAGGCGGGGCCTCCCTGGAGGGGTGGGAGGGGCACGAAACCATGTAAATAGTATGGTTTTCGGATACCCTCCTCGCTCAGGCGGGGCCTCCCTGGAGGGTGGGAGGGGCACGAAACCATGTAAATAGTATGGTTTTCGGATACCCTCCTCGCTCAGGCGGGGCCTCCCTGGAGGGGTGGGAGGGGCACGAAACCATGTAAATAGTATGGTTTTCGGATACCCTCCTCGTAGGTATGGTATGGTACGGTATGGTATGATATGGTATGGTATGGTACTGGAGGTATGGTATGGTATGGTACGGTGTGGCATTGGTGTGATATGGTATGGTATGCTATGGTACGCCATGGTATGGTATGGTACGGTATGGTACGTATGGTGTGGTATGGTATGGTATGGTATGGTATGTGTGGTAGGAACTATGGTATGGTATGGTGTGTGTGGTAGGAATAATATTGTGCTGTATGGAAGATGGAGCGGGAGGTGGGTGGGAAGGAGAGGGTGTTCTGGGAAAACAAGAACCCCACTCAGGATGTGGGGAACAAGTGATTTCGGGAAATGGGTCCAGATCTCCGAGGGTCCATTTTGTGAATGCATCACGACGTTGGGGGTCTTGGAAGTGAGCGAGGATGCTCTCGGAGCCCCAGATATCGACACCGGTACCAGGGTCCCGTGGATCAATTGGGAGCGTTTCAGCATGAAGGGATTTGTAAGTCTTTGTGCCGATATTATTATGACCAGCCAAGGGGGCAGGACAATGAGCTGGAGTGGGGAGGAGGAGGAGGAGGAGGAGGAGGAGGAGGGAGGAGGAGGAGGAGGAGAGAGGAGGGGAGGAGGAGAGGAGAGGAGGAGGAGGCGGAGGAGGGGAGGAGGAGAGGCGGAGGAGGAGGAGGAGGAGGAGGAGGGGAGGAGGCGGAGGAGGAGGAGGAGGAGGAGGTGGAGGAGGAGAGGAGGAGGAGGAGGAGGAGGAGGAGAGGGGGAGGAGGAGGAGGAGGAGTAGGAGGAGGAGGAGGAGGAGGAGGAGGAGGAGGAAGGAGGGAAGGGAGGAAAAGGGAGGAGGAGGAGGAGGAGGAGGAGGAGGAGGGGAGGAGGAGGAGGAGGAGGAGGAGAGGAGGAGGAGGAGGAGGAGGAGGAGGAGGAGGAGGAGGAGGAGGAGGAGGAGGAGGAGGAGGGGAGGAGGAGGAGGAGGAGGAGGAGGAGGGAGGAGGAGGACGAGGAGGAGGAGGAGGAGGAGGGAGGAGGAGGACGAGGAGGAGGAGGAGGAGGAGGAGGAGGAGGAGGACGAGCGCGAATCCTGGCTGGGGGCTGGCGCAATCCAACAATGCCCTGCGCCAGCCCCTCCAGGACGACCGTTGCATGGCGCCCGAGTCACCAAGCATCGGCCATCCCGGGGATGTAGGGGTTGCGCTGGCTGGGCCCTCTAGACTCCGCTACCCAGGAGCGCCGCGACGACCGCGAGGTCGGTGTAGCGGCGCTTCTCGAACCTGCCGCCGACGCCCGCCCGCCGCCGCCCAGCGGCCGGGCCCGCTGCAGCTTCTGGCGCAGGTCCGCGCCAGCCCAGGGCGCCCGGCCGAGGTGCCCAGCAGCGAGCGGGTAGCCTCCCCGCCCGCTGCCTGGTCAGCGTCGCCGAACGCCGTCGCGGCGGCCGCACGCCTTCCCGGGCCCCACGTCGTCGGTTCGCCTGGCAGCGGGTGCAGCGTCAGTGTGCGCCGAGCCAGGGCAGCTGGCTGCCCGCCGCCTGCCGGCGAATTGGCCGCCGCGCTAGCGTCGCCGCCCGGCGCCGCGGCGTCGCCTCGTCCGCGGGCCGCCCGCCGCCTGGCGCGCCGCCTAGTGCAGGCCAGCCGCCTTGCGGAGGTGCCGCGCCGTGGCCACTTGCAGCCCGCATCTGAGGACCTTGCAGGCCCGCGCCAGCTCCCGCCGCTGCGGGTCTTCGGGCAAGCGTCGCACCTGCCCGAGCAGCCAGGGGCGGGCTTCGGCGCCGAGCCGCCCCCCCCCCGCCTCGAGGACGAAGGGCGTCAGCCCGGCGCCCCGGTAGCGGGCGTGCTTCTCCCGCTCGCCGCGCCTGCTGGCCTCGCCGTCCCGGCGCGCAGCCACGTGCAGCTCGGCCTGTGTGTCAGTTGCAGGGGGGCGGACAGAGACGTCGAGCCACCGGGCCCCGTCGTCTTCCTGGAACTCCAGGTCCAGGATGGCGCGCTCGAGTTGGCCGTCCGGGCGCTGGCGGTCCCAAATCGGCACCCTCTGCTCGAGGAGAGGCCGCTCGCCGCGCCAGTGGTGGAGGAGCCCGGCGACCCTCCAGATGAGTCCGCCGTGTCGCGCCAGCACTCCCCCGCCCAGCTGGCAATTCAGGGCGTAGTAGCCGCGCTCTTCCAGAGCCTCAGCGCAGCCAGTTCCGTCGGCGCCGCGCAAGCAGCAGGCGGCCCCCTCACCCGCGAGCTCCTGCTGGCTGAGCTCCGCGCGGGGAAGCTGCAGCCGCCGCCAGGTGCTGGTCTCCCAGTGGGCGTCTTCCAGCGTGCAGAGTTCGTCCTCGGGGTAGGTCAGGTAGGCGCCGCTTCCGCTGCCAGCCGCGTCCCGCAGCTCGGCCTGCCCAGGGAGATGTAGGCGTCGCAGCAGAGCTGCGCGCTGGTTCCTTTGCATTTTCTCCGAAGCTAGGTAGGCCTTGCTTCAGGGGCGTTTGCAGCGCAGTCGCCAGGCCCCCGGCCGCGGCGAGCGCCAGCCCTTGGTCTCGCAGCCCGCGCCGCGCACTGGCCAGCTTCTGGGCCGCCCGCGGCAGTCTCTCCAAGCAGTTTGCCCGCGTCCCGCTGCCTTGGTCTTCTGTGACCTCTTCCGCCGCCAGCGTCCAGGAGGCCAGGAAAACCGCGTGGCGGCGCGTGCTAGCCAGCTGCGCGCCCAGGCCTCCGAAGCGGGCCGGGAGGCCTAGCAGCTCCCTGGCTGCATCGCCGAGGTCCCGCCCGAGCAGGTCCCGCCAGCAACCCGCGAGCAGGTCGCCATACTGCTGCGTCGCAGCGTCCGTGGCGAGCTCCGTTCGCAAGGAGTGCTGGCTTGCCGGGCCCACGTAGGCGCGGAAGAGAGCTGCCGCCGCGTGCTTTTTGAGCCTTGCCTTGTGCAGCCCTTTCAGCTTTTGGTAGAGCGTATGCAGTTTCCTCCCTGCTTCGGCGAGGCTGTTCGCCAGCTCCCCAAGGGCGGCTGGCGCGCTGCTGCCGGCGCCGCCTGGCGGTCGCAGGTGCTTGCCGAGCACAGGCAAGCTGGGCACCCAGCACGCCTGCAGCTCTTCCGTGAGCACGGCCCGCCTAGCTGGGGACCAAGCAGCTGGTTTCGTGGCATTCAGCTGCAGCCCGAAGGGCTGGAGCGCCTGTTGCAGGGCTTGCGTTGCGAGAGCAGCCAGCGCGGCCTCCGTCATCAGGTTGGAGTCGTTTAGTTAGCTGTACAGCTTCGCCTGCGGGTCCAAGCGGAGCAACTCCGCGTGGAACATGTGCAAGGCAAACCTCTGCGCCACGGCCGCGGGCGACAAGGGGTCCCCTTGGTCGAATCCCCTCCCGCTTTGGAGCGAGTGGAAACGACCCCCCGCGTCGCGCCAGAGGTGTCTCGCCGGCTGCCCGCACCAGGCTAGGAGGGCCGCCGCGGCCACCTCGTCTCGCTCTGCCATGGTCGCCACGGCGGGCGCCCGTTCTAGGAGGAGGAGGAGGAGGAGGAGGAGGAGGAGGAGGAGGAGTTGGAGGAAAAGGAGAAGCAGGAAGATGGTAGGAGGCGGAGGCACGAGGAGGATGAGGAAGGGGAGGATGCACGAGGATGATGCTGATGCTGATGCTGAGGATGACGATGCTGATGCTGCTGCTGATGTTGTTGATGATGATGAGGATAATGATGCTGATGATGCTGATGATGATGGTGATGCGGATGCTGCGGATTTTGATGACGATGATGCTGATGGTGATGCTGATGCAGCTGGTGATGACGATGCTGCTGATGATGATACTGATGATGATGCTGCTGATGATGCGGATGAAGCTGATGCTGCTGCTGCTGAAGATGTTGCTGCTGCTGCTGATGATGATGATGCTGATGATGATGATGATGATGATGATGCTGATGATGATGATGATGATGATGGTGATGGGGATGATGATGATAAGTATGTGAATGAGGTTGTTTGGGATGCTGATGATGCTGATGATGATGCTGATGCAAATGCTGATGATGATGGTGATGGTGATGCTGCAGATCCTGATGATGATGATGATGATGATGATGATGATGATGATGAAGCTGATTATGCTGATGATGATGACGAGGCGGAGGAGGAGGAGGAGGAGGCACGGGGAAGGGGAGAAGGGATGACGATGAGGAGGATGCGGACGACGAAACGTGGGTCGGTCTCGGTGTTGGCCACGTTGTGGATCGTGGCGGAAGGCTCGCGCGACCTGAGGCGCATGAGGCGCATTACCTGCCTGAACCCAAGGTGCGCATGCGTTCCCGCCGCTCATCTTGGCGCACCGCTCACACTGGTCGTGACGCCAATCGGGATCTCCACCGAAGACGATAATCACGATTGAGTTTGTCACAACTGCATATGCTTGCGTTCTAGGGGTGGGGGACGAAGAGGAGGAAGCGGTGAAGGAGGAGGAGGAGGAGGAGAAGGTGACAGATGAACAGGAGGAACAAGAGGAGGAGGCGGAGAAGGAGGAGGAGCAGGAGCAGGAGGAGTAGGAGGAGGAGTACGAGGAGGATGATGAGGGAGGAGGACGAGGATAAACAGCAGGACGAGGAGGAGGGAAGACGAGGAGGAAGCGGGAGGACGAGGACGAGGAAGAGGATGAGGAGGTGGAGGAGGAGGAGGAGAAGAAGGAGGATGAGGAGGAGGAGGAGGACGAGGAGGAGAAGGAGAAGAAGGAGGAGGAGGAGGCGGAAGAAAGCGGAACGGAACAGCTGTGCATCTCATGTCCGCCCAACGTCAAACAACAAAAACGGCGTGAGGGCCGAGGATCAGGGCTCTTGGCTGCTGTTGGCTCCTCTTTTGCCCCTCGGAGGCCTCCGCGGGACGCAGGTCCCCGGTCATTTTCAGGGGTTACAACAGGAGGGGTAGGATCAGGGGGGGTACTCGTCGACCCCAATGGCCCATGGATCGCTGATAGGGGCCTGATGGCCCCAACCTCCCAGGACTGGTTTCGCTATCGGGGGCCTATCGCCGATCCGTCGGCGATGCATCGCCGATTCCTGAGCGATGCTGCCCCCCTTCCTCCCTCCCCTCCCCCCTGGATGTCACTTGTGCTGCGTGCTCGCGCGCATATTACGGCGACCGCAGCGCACCCCGCCCAAGCGTTACCGTCGCCCGGGGGCCCAACCCCACTCTCCCTCGAGATAACAACCGCTACCCGCAAT